TTATGTATTTATTAGAGCCTGACCGATTTATCGGCAGGCCGATATTATCGGCCGATATTAGGCCGATCGGTATCGGTATCGGCAGTTATAATGGCCAATAAATTAATATTTCAAAAATAAAATAAAAACGGACGAAACACGCTTCAACTATGTCATGAGTGTTGCAGTTGTATAGTTTGTCCACCAGAAGGCACTCTACACCGTCCCTGTTGGCAACAATCGTGTATAACGCGCCACACATCCTGCAATCTGCTGATCCAGCCAGAGTCATGGTGAATTGGTCACGAGACATACATTGCTTGAAATCTGTTAATGTTTTGTTGCACGTTTCTGAAAAAAAAAATGTATATATCGGCCGATATATCGGAATATCGGATTTTAAAACCAACAAATATTTGTATCGGTATCGGCCTTCAAAATCCTTTATCGGTCGGGCTCTAGTATTTATCATCATTAATCAGTTATATCTATAATGTATCATATATATATTTATATATAAATTTGATAAATAATATTAATAATACAACTATTACTAATACTAATAAAAATAATTAAATATTATTGCCAGTGAGAAAATAATTTGCATGTATGTATGCATATATAATATTTATGTATGTGTGACTATATATACAGTACATATACATGTGTGTATAAATATTTATATATATATATATATATATATAATATATATAGAGAGAGAGAGAGAGAGAGAGTAATAAATAAATAGATGGATAAACTAGTCAACCTCACACCTCAGTTATTGGAAAACCCATCATCACTAACCAAACCTGTGCATCTTAAATCACCAAGCTGTGGGTGGGAAGCTAGAAGATTTGTGCTCTGTCTTTATTTTGATTGTACTGTCGTACATCCTGTAAACAACAACTCGTGTCTAAACAAAAAGAGGAAATCCTGAGAGAGCTTCACATGATGAGGAACTACATTCTGAACAAGCTCACAGCTTTTGAAAGTTTATTTACAGATGGAGTCTGCCGAACTAGATATGCACACACAATGTGGGGATATTAGGCTGTACTCCTCTGGAGGGGCTCACTGTGCTCCGCGCTCTATTATCATGACCTCATGAGGTCTATTTTCCTAATGTCAGTGTGATGGAGAGTCTCATAGCAGCAGTTGGGCAACATGACTGTGATCTGTTGAAGGATAGCATGGCACTAACCACAACAGAGGAGGTCTTACTCACCATCCACCATTCTTGAGTCTGAATCACCCAGACATGTTCGAATGAACTGAACTAGACCAAAACCCTGACGTTAGCCAGGGCAGACGGTTGATTTCATTTGACACAAAAAAAATGTGCTTTTTTATTTTTATGACATTAGTATTACTGATTAAACACACAAAATCATTAAATTCGGGTATTTGGACTTATTTAAGAATTTTTTTAACAGTTTGTTACAAATTAATCATTAAGACATTGAGAAGCTTGGAGGAGGGACAGTAAGATAAAAATTAACCTTTTTTATTTATTTAAAGCCATTTACACTAAATATATATACTAGTATATATATTTTCAAGATTTGTTATCACAACATTTTTTCTTTAGTCAAATCAACTTCAATAACTTATTTAATCCAGATAACTTATTATTTTGAGTTTCTGATGAATAAATCAATCTCCTTCATTGTATTAACTCACTTTTTCCAGTTCAATGAACTTAAAATTTTAAGGCAACCAGGTTACTTACTTTTTTAAGTTAAACCAACAATATTTTTTTACAGTGATATTATAGATGCACGGATGCAAGTCTCCATTTAGTGATGCACGGATCACGGTTAATGGGGATAAATCAAGTGCTGGGTAATATGCAATGGCTTTTTGTTACTGTAAGAAAATGAAATTTTGTTTTAAATAAATAAAAGCAGCATTCCTCAATGTATTTTTCCATTAGAGATGCGCGCATCAGCTCTCTAGCATCGCCGAATCCACTGTTGAAGGTCTTATCACGTGTAACACATAAGATATCAGGTGTGGATATCCAAATCAGAGAAAACTATTGGTGCGGGTGGGTGGATGATTTATATTGACCTAATTATTTGTTCAAAGAAATTATTCAAATGATTTTAAATGACTTTCAACTTGATATATATGATTAAAATATAGTCAAAATAAACAAGTAAAAATGTATATATTTTTTATTGATTTTTTTTTTCATTCAGTCTGAATTCTTCACTTGAGTGTTTTTTCTTAAACAGATGACGATATGCCTTAATATAACTTTATTTTGTCTCCACCCCCATTGAAACCCATTGAGACTGAAATAGGTTCTATCTATTTAGTCGCTGAGGTAATTTTCCTGTTACAAACACTCAAGTAAACTTAGCTACGGCGAGGCGGGAACCTGAAACCACTGCTTGAGCAATTCTGCTGCAGTGTCAAAGCGCGAAGTGATTACAGCGCTGCCAGAAAACTTATCAAGGGGTGGACCCAGATTTGATTACCATTATGTTCCACTTATGGGTGACAGGACTAAGGTCCAAATGTCATGGCAATAAGGTATGACACCAGTGAAATTTAGCATGTGCATTTTAACAGACTTATGGTCCTGTTTGGGAGGCACCTTTTATAGAAATGAAAGTGGAAGTATGAAGCATAGCAGACGGGGAACAATGGCAGACGGGGGAAAACCTGTTCAAAAACCTGTTTTATACTTAGAAAAATATTTACATGAAGAGCTCCTTTTTGCTGAAACGGTTATTTGGGGTTAAGGTTTCTCATTCTACACTCTTGTACTTTTAAAACATGGTTCTTTAGAGGAGATCCAGCAAAACAAATATTGCAATTATTACAAAACACGGGGATGTCATGCAACCACAAGTGATGGATGAATTTGTGACAAAGTACCATAGAGTGCAATGGGGACACACTTAAGCCTGTTTTATGCTTCTGCGTCGAATCGACGGCGTACCCCCGCAGACCCCTATCCGTCGACGCGAACCCCTCTCCGACCCCTCCGCCGTAGCTCGACGTGCACCTCCAAAAATTTGTAACTACGCGTCGAGGCGACGCAGACAGCAAGGGCTTTGATTGGTCAGATTATACATCAATTCAGGAGTGTAGCTTTTCCGATTTCCCCCTCCCGCTATTAGCGCTATTTTTAACATTTGCACCCTCGTTCTGATAATTATAATACTCTTATAAAGAAAGTAAATAAAGAATTAATCTAAAAATAAACTGTTTTTTTATTTCATTTTTAATATATATGTCTATATTCTTTTCTTTCTTTTTTGCTCGCAATAAACTTCAATCAATCAATAAATCAACGTTTGTTTTGAAACACAGTTCGTTGTTTATTTTCAATACAATGTTCACGGTTACATCATTGATAATACAGTACTAACCAAGTCTGCCACGGGACACATTATATCCTGCCATAGCACAGTTCCACGTGGAGACTGAAAAAATCATTTAAGTCATTCCGAACAGGTATCGTTATGGCAGCTCGGGTGGAACATCCGTGTTGATTATGTGGGGATAAAGTTTGTGTCGTCTTGTTATTCAACGTCGATTAGCTCCAGCTGGCAGCTGCTAAAACAACATTCTCTCTCTTTCGCTCGCGGCGCACGGAACCAAAGAGATTCGCGAACCCCCCTAGCGTTCTGGCGGCGAAATGCACCGCGATGCACCACAACATCACGCAGAAGTATAAAACGGCCACGACGCCGTAGTAGTGACGACGTAGCTACGCCGTGGAGTTGACGCAGAAGCATAATGAGGCCTTTATAAGTTTATTTATTTTGTTAATATGGTTAGTTGCATTTTATATTGCATTTATCATATATTTTTTTCGTCTGTCCAAAAAACTATACGTTTCAAGGGGTAATGGCATGAGAAATCAAATTTGCCTTGATCTTTTGACATATAACGGCTTGTTTCCACTGAGTGGTACGATACGGTACAATACGGTACGCAATTATTTCTGTTTTGATTGCCGGAAGTTGTAAATGGTACCAAAATACAAAACTGTACTGTACAACTTTTGGGGGGCCCTAGCACAGTAGTAAAGGGTGGAGCTAGACTTACTGCAGAACGTTGATTAGTTGACAGAGAATCATCACAATTGCGAGAATACTTTTTGTGCTCAAAAAACGAACAAAAAAAATGACTTATTGAACTATTCATGTCCTTTTCTGTGGGCCTCGAGTGAGTTCACGTAGTGTAACAGCGCAGCGCTTCTGTTTTCAGACTCAAATTCAAACTGAAATGACATTCATTACAAGATTATTAGTTAAAACATTTCAAAATGCACCTGCAGACTATTTTTCCAGTCATGAATTTTGTCATTGAGGATTTCTATCAAATATTGTGCATAAATCTCGCCTCGTTCGCGTGAACCCAATCTCGTGTCTCATCTCGTGAGATAAGTTTCTCGTCACACCGCTAGTAAATACATTTGAATATGCCTGCTTTAGAGCAAGAATGTTTAGCACGAATAGTTACACATCACATTATCGCACCATAGGCCCCGCCCACTGGGGTTCAGTTGCTCAACGGCTGACATGCGTCATATATATCAATTATAATATAACCTCAATATATAAATTATAAGTTAACCTCAAGGAACATATTAAAATAAATAAAATCCATTTTGCTTTTAAAGGAAATCAACTGTTAAAAAGACTAGTTTTCTTTTTTATGTGAAAAAATTGTGATCTAAAGTTTAACCAAAATAGATATGCTTGATTATGGCAATCATCATAATCATGAATGTTTTACAGAAGCTAAAAAACTTTGTTTAGTAGCAAAACAAAACCCGTTTTTGCCAGTCTAATCCACTCAGGCACAAAAAAGACAAGATACTCCAGATATTTAATTCTCAAATAGGCACGTAACAAAATCCGCTCATCAATAACGAGTCTTTGTGAGATGACAAACAGAGTCTTCACCCCGTCTAGACGCCATTTCATCAGTTGTGAATGCAACACAAAGAGGATCGAAGCCTTTGAGATACGCCAACATCCCGAACAGCAGGGCCTTACCTGAGAGAGGTCTCCGTTCCGAGAGAGATCCAGGGTGGGGAAGTCGAAGTCGAAGTCGCTGAAGCCGTTGAGAAACAAATCCGTGTGCATGTCTGATGGACCGTTGAAAAGGTGCTGCCTGAGAAAGACAAAATAAATGGAAGAGCTGCATTAGGACAGTTTCGTGATGGATCACGAGCAGAGTAAACAAAAAAAAGGAAGGGGGAAATTCACAGTTTTTTGTGTCATGAAATCAAACAGTCACATCCCAGTGACAGCAACGTGACAAAAAAATACATACACATAATGAGTAATGACTTGTGCGCCTTATAAACAAGTCGATCTAAATTACACATTATATAAGTAAAAATAAGTAAATGATGACTACATTTTCAATTTGGGTGAACTACGTGTTTAAAGTTAAAGTTAAGTTCACAAATGTGTATATGTGTATAGGCTTTAGATATCAGGCCACCCTTAAAAATATTCTTGTTTGCCGTAACCCGACCGACCCTGTCAATTTAGGGCCGACGCAATTTTTTATTTTTTTTCCCTTTTAGTCCAACCGACTTGCCGGTTGTAACTTGCGTTCAGACCGACCGATTTTTTATTTTTTTTTTACTCTTCAAACGACTAATTCAAATTCCATAAAATGATATTTTAGTTAGTATTGTGAAAGTTGCTTATGTCTACAAACGTAGGCTACGTTCTTTCTTTTAAATAAAAACCCGTGGCGTCATAGTCATCTGATTATGTTTACACGATTGGTTTACCCGTGTCACACTGTCTATAAGGCTTATACGTTCGCTTCGTTTCATTCAGTGTTCCCGCTTGGTAAACCCGGTATTAAATGGGCTGAATATCAACCATTTCTATATATAATAATAATATTAAACAATTTGTCTGATGCAATTTTGCTATTCCCAGTCCAGAAGAGAGAGAGCGATCTCTCACCCGGAGCCACAGCGCGAACAACATGACAGCCCTGCTTACTGAGTGACAATGAGGACAGAACGTGGTTACCTACACTTTAGATCTGGGATATTATTCTAATTGTATTTTAGATTTCCGCTTTCAAAGATTATAAAAAGATAATTGAGATGAAACCATTACAGACGCATTCTGTCTATAGCGCAACTTCCTTCCCTTCACAGCGTTGCGCTGTCATTTCTTCCTAAAACCCAAACGTACCGTCAGAATCAGCACGATCGGTAATTGTTGTAAAATGCAGTCTGTACTGTTGCTAAACTGCGTACGGGTTCAATCATTAAAAGAGCTATTAAAAGCACAAAAGTCTGCGCAAGAGACGCTGTTCACAAGGTGATGCGTGCTCCGAAGTGCACTGCAACGGGACAAGAAAAGTAGGCTATAGCCTCATTTTGGGCTTCATGTGCGCAGCTAAACTATCAAATATACATAAAATCTAAAATGACCTGCTCTGAGATTCATTTAAACACAGTTTATGTCTTAAATGGATGTGAATAGTTGGGAGGATATGGTGGTGCATCAGTCATCTGTTAGATCCGCACTCGGTCTTAAAGGGGCAGTAGTCTAATAAACATGTGACGATTGAGCCAGTAATGGGAATCAAACACAACAAAAGGCAGAGAAAAATCACTCGCAGCTCTTGAATTATTAACTTAAACTTTAATAAGCATTAATCTAACTATGATAAACCATGCAGTGTCATTTTACATTTGATTTACTAAATTAAATTTCTTTTCAGACAGCGCAACACACTTAACTGAAAAGTAGCTAATTTTAGACCTTTCTGAAATTAAAGCACTGTGTATATAGGCTAATTTGTATCTTTGTTTAATTGTATTCTTTGTTTCACCATTTGTTTGTACTTGTTTTTGCTTATATCTCATGTATTTGGGGAAAAAAAAGCCTGCACACTGCTGCATAACAAATACAGTAGATATTTATTCATTTTGTGACTGGCCTAAAAACGTAACCGGTTGTAGGTTGCAATAACACCTAGTGGTGGATGCACAGTTTGAAGACCCAGTCAGTGACGTCACAGTATGCAATTAAAAAAAAAAAAAAAAAAAAAATGAATGATCGCCATGACCAAAATTTTACTTTTTTTTTTACACTGAATCCTGGAAAAAAAAAATATAGACCTACCTACCGACCCTTTTTTTTAAAAAAAATTGCTGTTACTGCAAACCAAAATATTTTTAAGGATGGCCTCAGAGTAATTAAAGAGTCTTTACTGAAAGCCTCCAATCATGTGACATTCATTCATTATATACCTTATGAGTCATGCACGTCATGTGACATTCACTTTCAGTTCTCTGTCTCTCACTTTTTCGGAAATCACCACATTACATTTCAGGAAGCTTTATTCCGAGGTGGATAATTTTGTAGCGTTGCTAATTAAGATTATACATTTGAGCTGCCATTGAGTATATGTGACTCGATCAGGGAACAGAAACCTTTGCTCTTAATTGAGTTGATGTAAGATGAATTATGACAAAACACAAACACACACACACACACGCAGTGGCACGAGACAACTTCCAACATCTGGGATTCAAAATGTCTAAATACACAGAATGGTATGGGATTTTGGAAAAATGTAAAAGAGGCATTATGATGTAAAATAAATAAATAATGATTTAATAGGAAAAAATGTATTTATTATTATTAATATAATTTTGTGCTGATTATAAAATTATTATTTTGAATGATATTAAATTATAAAAATAAATATTACCCCCCATTTTATGAATAATATACATATACAGTATTGTTCAAAAGTGTCAGTAAATACTTTTATAATGTTACAAAAGATTTCTATATAAAAGAAATGCTGTTTCATTTGAACTTTCTATAAATCAAAGAAAAATCAGAGAAATAAATTAATCACGTTTTTCACTAAAATATGAAGCAGCCCAACTGTTTTCAACATTGATAATAATAAGCATATTAGAATGATTTCTGAAGGATCATGTGACACTAAGGACTTCAGTGATGATGCTGAGAATCATCTCAGGAATTAATTACATTAAAATATATTCAAATAGAAAACAGCTATTTTAAATAACAATATTACGATTTTTACTGCATTTTTGATCAAATATTGTTTTACTTTTAAAAGTAGAAGGGACTACTTTCAAAAACATTTTAAAACATCTTACCGACCCCAAACTTTGAATGGTGTATGCATCATACTGAACCAAGAAAATCTGGCAAAATGTATCCAACTGAAATGGACGAAAAATTCTGATACTATTATTGTAGTTTTGTTATGTATTTGATTTGATTTGTTATGGATTTGATTGCTCATACTGACTTGGCTACATTAAAAAATACAAAGAAATAGTTTCAATATAAAATAGTTGTTGCATTTTGATAAAAGATTCTTAGGGTGTTCACACTTGGCATGTTTGGTTCGAATAAAATGAAACCTGGTGTAATTGCTTTGTTAGTGCGGTTTATCTGAATAAGTGTGAACACTGCCATCCGAACCGCTGAAAAGATGTCTCGGCCCGCTTCCGAACGAACTCTGGTGCGGTTTGACTGAAATACGAATGCTACAAGGACCAAAGGCATCTAAATGAACCAAAATCAGGACATGATGTCAGAAGATGCGTCCCTGAAAAGGACACAATGTTCAAGCATACCTGTCTATTCTCATCATATTCACGATTCTGCCCATCACAGTTCGGTATAGGCGTCAGAACCACGTCTCCTCACAGTAGATCTTCATTAATGTGTGTGACGGAGGGGTTCGTTCCAGCTGCTGTTTCGACTCCTTTACACATCTTAAAAGCTCTTCACGGGTTCTCAGCAGGTCAAAACACCATCTTTTGTAGGCTTTTATTTTTTGGTTTAGACCAAATGAACCAAGTGAACCGAACTACAAGTCTTCAAGTTTGAAATCTTAAAAACTACCTTGGTCACTATGCGACACTTTAACACTATTAAATATTATAATTCATTTTAATTACAAAACCAGCGAATTTGCAGTTTAGCGCATTTGTGTTCCTCAAATAAAACGGTCAAATATATAATGGTCCTCAGACTCAGAGGTTATATGGAAATCCCCTTCTTATGATATTGCACCGCAAGCTTGGCACATCGATTCAGGCACATTCCATCAACACAATACAATTCACTCGGCACTAACCTCTGGAACTCTGTCTTGTGTAATCATATCCCTCTGAGAAAAATCACTTGTATCTGCAGCAAACGCTGGAGGAAAATGGACTGTAAAATCATTTTCAGGCTAGTAAATAGAAGCTAATAAAGTATATAGTCTTTTTGGTCTGATTATTTGAATGCTTTCACACAGAGTGTGTATACACCTTCATAGACTGACTATTCAACAACCACGTACAATGTTGAACAGACTGTAAAACCATCCATCAAAGCTTTTCATCATTGTGTTAAATTAAACATGGCACCAGAAGTATTATTTGAGACTGTAACAGCGAGATTCCTACTCGTCTGGATGATTATCACTGATCCAATTTTAATTATTATTTATTATTACCATTACTATTATTTGCCTAGTAATGTTTGTGAGTGACATACTCTATGTTAGGCAACAAATAAGTTTTATTGACGCTACAAACAAATATTTTGGAAGGAAAAGTCTAAATATAAATGGAATCAGTACATAAAATGCATAATATTAAAGATGAACGAGAAACAGTGAGTGCTCTTTGCCATCGTGGCAATTTAACTGCAGCAAACGGGCAAATACCAGTCTATCTGTGTTCCCGAAACCACTCAGTCACGAAGTCAGTACGGTGAACACCACTGTATGTACACGGAGATATATCATAAATTATAGGAGTTTCTGACTGCTAAAATGATCTTCTCGTTCAACTTGCCTCGGTCAGACTCAGCACTGAAGAGTGACGCGCTCCACTGACTTCACTCCTATTGGTTGTCGCTCCCAAAAGTCGCTCTGCATTAGAGCCCGACCGATAAAGGATTTTGAAGGCCGATACCGATAGAAATATTTTGGGGTTTTAAAATCCGATATTACGATATATCGGCCGATATTTATTTTTATTTTTTTCAGAAACGCGCAACACAACATTAACAGATTTCCCTCACATTAGTTATTTGTAGTTATTTATGAATTTTAACATGACATGGTTCAAGCGTGTTTCGTCCGTTTTTATTTTATTTTTGAAATATTAATTTATCGGCCATTATAACTGCCGACACCAATAGTTTGGAAAATGCCTAATATCGGTCTGCCGATATATCGGTCTGGCTCTACTCTGTATTTGCATAAAATTAAACAGATCTCAACTTTGTCGCGTCACTGGACACGCCCCACGGCTCACTGTCGCGCGTGTCGCCGGAAGTTGCCCGCAACCCATTGAAATGAATGGTAATGTGTCGCTTAGTCGCTTGTAGTGTGAACGGGGCTTTAGCGCTGTGTAGTAACAGTGTCGCTTGATCAAGATTGGCTTGCCTTTCACTGACATGTTAGGCAACGTCGTGGTGGTCGCGCCAGCGCGACTGAACAAAGGTTGTATCGGCAGGAAAAATGGTGCAATGAATCGTTCGGTTTGTAACGCATACCGAAACGAAAGCCTCATATCAAACGGTATCGTTACACCCCTTTCTCTCTCTCTCTCTCTCTCTCTCTCTCTCTCTCTCTCTCTCTCTCTCTCTCTCTCTCTCTCTCTCTCTCTCTCTCTCTCTATATATATATATATATATATGAATAGTTCAGATGCAAAAGCCTCTAAATGCCATTTGAAATTTTCTTCTAGAATGGTCATTTTTATCAAGCTTGTATATTTAAGTTCAGTAATTTCACTTAAATGGCAATTAATAGGAAATCTTCATTGCCCTTTAAGTGAAATTACTGAACTTAAATGTACAAGCTTTGTAAAAATGATCATTTTAGAAGAAAATTTCAAATGGCACTTAGAGGCTTTTGCATCTGAACTCTTCATATATATATATATATATATATATATATATATATATATTTATATATGCATTCAAACACACACACACACAATATTAATATTATACAACACAACATTAAAATATATTAAATTGTTAAAATGCATCAGATTATTATTACAGCAATAAAAATAATAATATGTTTGCTTCAATTTAAAAAATATAATATAATAACAATGTTGTCTGAACAAAAACACCAAGCAGTTTGAGTCATCTGATTGACTATGACTCATTAAATTGGGGAAACTAGTATCTGGTGTCTTGCTCTGGAAGAATGTAATATGAAGCATAAACTAATAACCATGAAGTTTGGTATTTTCCTATTCTGTTTACAAAAGCTGATGATAAAAAAAGCAAGAAAAAAAGCCAAAGCAGCATTAAAGGTTCTCACATTGCTAGCGATGAAATTCTGTGAATGCATCAAGTTGTTTTTCCACCAAGGAGTGGGTGGACAGGATGTAGCACTGACGCTAGCATCAACCACAAACTTATTCTTTCTAAAACCGAGACCCTTATTTCGACGTTTTCAAACACATTGACCTTTGCACACATAATTCTCGTCTCTCTCTTTTCCCTGTGCCATATTTCGTCAACAAATCGCTACTGTGTACTATAAATACAGAGAGAGGACTTCCCAGTCTCCGTTCACGTGACCTCTGATGGCACTGGATCATGAAATGATCAGGCATAGCAACAATTCCCATGTGGCGAATTGCATACATTCTTTGAGCTGTTTGTCAGACATTTCGATAGAATCAAGTAGCAAAAATGTTTAAATAAACATGAAATAAAGAAACATTTTTAAAATATATTCTTTTGTGTTCCCCAGAAAGAATGAAAGAAAGTCAAACCGTTTTGAAAACTAAATGACAACTTGATTTTCATTTTGGGTGAACTATCCCTTTAAAGTTGACATTTAACTAAGCAATCCGAGGCAACAAAGCAGATTTCTAGGAGAAGTCATAATGGAGTGCCAAGGGCTTCACCACGTCAACTAAAGTTACAGACCAAGCCAGGTGATAAAGTTCCTATCATATGTCATGTCAAGTTCAGGGATGTTTTCGCTTGCGTCTTATCGGGTCATGTAGATGTGAATTGACATTATGTATCAAGCTTACGAATACAATACAGTTCTTTAACGCCAAATAAGTCAGAAAGCCACAGTGTCAACTTGCAAAAGGTCTTCCCCTGTGGAAATGGCAAACATGATACAATGGCAACACGCTTTCCTTAAAGTCAACACCAAATATCATTGGCAACTCACTTTCATAAAGTAAAGTGTGCATGTCGGAGTGAAACAAAATACAAATGTAGGTTGGGATGATATGTGAGGGATTGATTGGATAGTAAAATAAATTTGGCATTAAACAGCAAAAGTCATTTTTATTCGATGGAAGATTACGAAGACAAAAATGTTTTCTCTGGAATAATGTGCACAATAACACCAGGAGCACGTGTTAAGAAAGTCAAGTTTTGGTTTCATGTTCACTTTTAGGTTTCCTCCAGGTTTGGAAAACACTCCTAGTCAAACATCCTTAGACAGAAGTCTGGGTACTTACTGGTGTTCAGATTGCACAGGACAGGGCAACTGGGGGGAGAAGCTCCAATGGTTGTTAGCAAACACGTGGCTCTGAAATAGAGGAAGTGAAAAGTTTAGAGACGAAAGTTTACTTGTTAGGTAAGAGTGCAGTACCAGTATTAGTTTTGGACTTTACGATAAGCTAAAAAAAAGTAGGTAAAACTATGATGTTATGGCTGACAACAAACAAATGGCTGATATGGAAATGTTATACTAATGTATGTTATAGTAAAATTCTAATAAAACATTCCTGTTTACCTGTAAATACTAAGCTATTTTTAAAGGACATTTACAGGAAAACCACACATACAACTAAAACTAACAATCTACAAGTGAAAACTAAACTAAAGAGGAACACTGAAAATAAAACAGAAACTAATATGAAAATCATAACCATTAAACCATTGAGAACCAAAAGTCTAATTCTGTTTAATTCGAAAATGTGAGTCCACAGGAAATCCCCTTCGTTTGCAAAAAAATAAATAAAAATAAAATATTTACACTCGTGATGACATCACTGCACTCCAACACTGACCAAATATTTACCTCACAGTTCCTTTTTCCACTTTAAAACCATCTTTTTCTTCGACTTTTAATGAGTCTTGTCACAATACAAGATTCAAGATAACAGTATTTGAATGAAACGGCACGAAAAAGCATCACTTTATCAGAAATTGTGTCTACCAATTGTTAAAATAACTCTGCGACCACAAAGACGTCATTTTGAGTGTCACCCACATACACCAAATTCTTGAGGTTTTGCCAGATATCAGAATGAATAACCTGAGTTTTTGAAAAATGAAACTAGTGATGAACATTATGATTATGAGTATTTGCTAAGTACAGTAGCTTAGCGTTTTGTCTTGCCACAAAAAATGTGCTGATCCTATACCAAGAGGGTGTTGTGGTTAACGATCTAGGCTGCTAACCAAAAGGTTGCAGGTTCGAACCTAGGTCACGTTTTTGATTGGTGCGACCACTTTCACACACTTAGACATGATGCTAAATGAAAGAGAGCTAATCTGAGTTACCATAGGGGGTGGCAGGACGAACCCCCTGCCATCCAGCTGAGGTCCATCCGAATGCGAGAAGCTGTGCCCGTCCATAGCAGGCGGAATTGAGAGCGATGGCATCAGACTGCAGTCTCGTACATGAAGGCCACACTGTATAAACCTGAGTGATCCGGTCAATGTCTTCACACCATGACCTGAGCACACAAACAAAGGAGACACGGCACGTCCATAATGGTGGAAAATCAAGTGGGAGAGCATAATGAATCATTTATGCTGTCAGCGTAAAAGCTCTGTGAGAAATACCCTCAAGCAGGAAGAAAGACTCCAATGACACAAATAGGTGAAATACACCTTTAAAATAATCCATTCCTGCTCTTTAAACACTGTGTGAATAGATCCATTATCGTCAACTAAATTAGCATAAAGGTTCACACGAAAGCCTTTGTGAAGGCTTTCATTGATGAAGGCTTTCATTGAGTATGCGACCTGAGACTTGTGTGGCTGCTCTTACAAAAAGATCATTTTTGAATAGAATTCATTGTGAAGATACAAAATTGAGACATGGAGCAGTTCAAATTAAGAGAACAAAACAAACATCTTGGTATGAAATGACAACAACTGAAATGCAAAGGAAAGTCTCAGAAGCCTGAAGCACAAAACAACTTGTGTTTCTCGTTAGGAAGGAGATCGCATGCCAGTGAACAGTTATTTGCATGTTACTGTATGGCTGATAACTGAGATAAATGATAAAAATCATTACTGTTTTTAAAGTATTTTAAAGATACTGTTTTTCTCTACAGCAACGTGCACTGATAAATCATGCACAATAAGACCGGGGACATCTATTAAGGAAGTAAACAAGATTATTTTGATTTCATGTTGTCTATAAAAACACTCCACAATCTCAGAGGTTGCATCCATATTTTGCCTGGGCAGTCAATGCATCCCAGTAAGAGGAGGTGTCCATCTATCTAACCCCCTGCCACAAAGGACAATCAATACTGATTACTATTGAGTTGATGTCCTCTTCCAGTAAAACACCATTATCTTTACTGGAAGGCAAGGGGAAAGATGAGAAAGCACCAAGAAAATATATTTTTATAGGAACGAAACGTACACTGGTTTTATTTGATGTAACATTCCAGAAAACTAATAAAGAAACCCATAAAAGGTCTATTGAAGGAAACAAACTGGGAAGTTGTATTGAAAGAGAAGGAAGCCTAAACTCCAATTGAAACCTAACATTATGTTTCTTGATGCATGCTCACCGTTTTCAAAAAAAGATCATTTGTAATTTGTTTCAAATGTATAAAATAAAGCATTATGAATAGTGTAAAAAACCGAGAAGTTAGTATTAAAAAGTAAATTAGTGAAAAAGTACTCTTAAAGAACCATTTTAAAAATAGGATCGGTTTAACCCCTTAACTGCCACCGTTCCGCTAACGGGAAGTTTAAGTTTACTTCAATATTTTTCTACTAAATCCTAATCTAATCATGGCAAACTATATATCGTTGTTGGAAAGGTCTAAGACTCAAGAATACATATTTGTTGATGATTTGCAAGAATAATGGAGCAATATATGACAAGAGTACGCATCAAAAAAATGTTTCACCTTAGTAACAAAAAGTCAACAACCACACTTTTAATCATTCAAACTTTGATATGTTAGCTAAAAGTTCACAATAAAACATATATAATCTAGTATTTGTTGTTTTATATATATATATATATATATATGGGGGGGGGTGACAGTTAGTAAAAGATATTATTCATACTTTGCAGTCATGTGACTACCATGGATACCTGGCGGGCAACAAATACTGACAAAATGGCGACAAACAGTGGCCAACCAGGGGAATTGCAGCCTTGCTATTTAGACCATATGTCACCGAATGTTAAAATTAGATATCAAAAAACATTAACATACTAGTCGGAACGAGTGATCCATCTACATCCATAACTGCATGTGAAAATTAATAGGCCTACTTCAAGATCTACAACTTAAGCCATTTAATCCATTGGGTAAAGTCTCAAGACGTGCCTTCTCTAAAAGTGTCCGGGTGAAATAGCATGCTACTTTTATTTACCCGCCACAGTGGCTGGTAGGTGAAGCAAGTTTACCAGTCACAACACAAAATCACCAGCATTTGGCTGCTGGCTGGTGCTAATTTGAATTTCTATCCGTGGTACAGATGATCGTGTTCTCGCCACCTACTGGTGAAAGTGTAAGCACATTTATGTTAACATTACACGATTAACACAGTGCATCCAATCTGGCATGTCGTTTACACCTCAAAATGGCAACTTTTTCCACTTTAAAACCATCTTTTTCTTCGATTTTAATGAGTATTGTCACAATAGAAGATTCATGATAACAATATCCGAATGAAACAGCAAGAAAAAGCATCACTTTATCAGAAATTGTGTCTACCAACTGTTAAAATAACTCTGCGACCACAAAGACGTCATTCTGAGTGTCACTCACACCAAATTCGTCCTGGCAAGCAAGATCCTTGATTAGTTTATTGGGTTTCGTTGCTAGAGAATGACGTTCTTGCCCGCCAGCCAGTACTTGTGACGTCGCGTACAAAGTATGAATTGAATAAGAATTGCTGCGTTGCAACTGACGTGGCATTCTAAACGTTTTATATTTCAATAAAAGGATTCATTACTTAGGAGGAAACACTAAAAATAGGATGAAAATCAGCACTGGTGGTGACAAGGAGGGGGAATTCCTTCAAACAAGAAAGACAAATCCTTCGGTTTGGCTTTCAAAACCAACCGATTTCAGATCTGGACAAAAAGTGCCCGTCTTATAATCACATCGGAGGCTTGCAGATGGTGTGAATTGCGAAAGCTAAGGAGATTATTCCGTGACCTCAGCGCAAGAGACTGTTTCCACAGCAGGATGCCTGCGGCACGAAACCTGATGGATGTCCACTAATCTTCTCTGATCTTTCGCAATGGGATCTCTTGTCTTTCAGGGAATGGGAAGAAAAGGAAACATGCATATTGTAACGGGGAAAAAAAGTCATGAGGCTTGCGGCATGGCATGGATCACCATCAGGGGTTTCCCATGTTTCCCTCAAGAGTTAGTTAAGGCCACCGCTCACATTCTGATGCGTCACGGTGAGCGGGAGCACGTGGAAGTTATCCAGGTAATCTGTCGCTCATCCTTGTGAGCTTTCACACTTTTATCAGGGTTCCCAATGTTCTGGATCAATGAACCTCTTATGTTCTAAGGGAGGAACTCGTCTCATTCTGTAACAGTGCACGCATATTATCAAGTAAGGAGAGATTGTGATTTAACACCGATTTAGAGGTGGTCAGCAAACAGTTTTCATCTTCTGTTTGCTTTACGTGGTCCGTTGCCAAAGCCGAAATGTATCGCTGTGTCCTCGTTTGCTCTCCGTCTATCTCAGTCCTTCATCTCTGGGTAAAGGTCTCGTCAGGCGACTACGCCAGGAAGAGCCAAACAAGTGTGTTATCTGGCCACAGAGACTGACTTCAACGGGTTTCGAATGACAGGCTGGGAAAGCCGAGCTTGCGAGGGCAGACGATCCCGGGAGATAGAGGAAAATCATGCTGACACTTGTTTGGAAACGGATGGTCGAAGCTAATGCAATTAGAGAAACAAACTAAGCATGCTAAGTGCGTCCAAACGTGTTTGCAATGGCAACGCCAGACACATTGATTAAAAGATTAAATATTCAAGAGGGGAAAAAGTTACTTTGCTAGTGCCCTCGCACACAAAACATAGCACTGACATACACCACCGTTCAGGGTCAACTTTTAAATTACTATTGCTATTCAGGAAGGATGCATTCATTTGATCAAAAGTCACAGTGGCTATATGTTAAAGATTGAGTTCTAAACAGCTGGAGGTAAATGGCAACCATGCAGACATAATACTCAAAATGACTCATTCAAAAGAAAACTACACTACTTAGGGTGTATTTCGTAAGTCTACCAAGCCTATATCTTTGTATAATCACGATTACAGGCAATATTGTCTAGCTGGGTGGGACATTCAGTATTATCAAGCATCAGCAGGATGAATTTAATGAAGTCATTGTGAGTCATACCGGGCTTTCATTTCATTGAAGGAGAGAGCCATCTCAGAGGTTTACCGATGTCATTCAGAACCTACGATCAATGGAGACTATTCAAAGCTAAACCACGTTAAAAGGGATATGCGTAGCTGGTGGCTTTAGAAAGCCTTTTTCCAAAAAGACTCAATGATTCATTTTGTTCAGTACAGGCAACATTAAGCTAAATAATACATATGTATATGATTGAAAGTAAGAAGTAAAGTGGGGTTGAAAATGAGAGCAAATTGGAGTAAATCTTCCAATATTAGTGAAGCTAAAACTAAAAAAGGTCCTTCTAATGTTTAGTTTAGATGTTCTCAGGCTGTTAAATGTTTATGGCATCATGCGCCATTAAAAACGGTCATGGAAACTCGAGACATAAACTGTTATAGCGATTTGAATTATAAACACTGATCAGATCTATCCGATCTGTCTTACTGGAACTTCAGTTGCCGCCCTCTTCCAGGACAACTCTGACCCAGTTGCAGAGGGTGACGCCTCTTCAATTCCCTCCAAACCCGAGCAACTCCGGTCAACCGAGGGCCTTCATTTCTGCCCGGGGTCACGAAACCAACACTGAACCGCACTCTTCTGCTGATCTGACTTAATGACAGAGAGTAGGCTGCGCCCAGCAAAACAAGCCACATGCACGTTCCTGGGGTGCCGTCAAAACCAAGAACAGCCCTAATTTGCATTCGAAGGAAAAAAGCATTACATAATATTACATACACTGTACAAAGAGACCCAAGGAAACCTAATAAAGATGTTTAATTCAGGGACGGATAGCTAAAAACACCACTGACTTCATTCTCAAGCTATTTGTTTAAGAAGAAAACGCAATGATCTTATACAGGAAAGCAAGGGTTTCTCCACAGAGAAACTGATTGAGCGGCTAGTTATGGGAAATCTGGGGGTGGACAAACCACCACAAGATTTTAAGGCTCGTCTTTCTGACCACAGAACAATTCACAACCTTTCTCAATAAAAATCCCTTCCACTTACAAACAACAGCATTAACGAAATTAGCTATGTTTAAATGTCATGGGCACTTTTTATTTCAATCAAAATTAAATAATTCTGATTGATGAATCTTACATGTCATAATTAAATGGATTACAAAAGATTTAAACCACCCCACCCTTACGATCCGAATGAAATCCAATTGGCGTGGTGGTCCGTGGATCTGTGTAAACGCTGCTTCTTTTTTACTCTTGAAAATTGAAATGTCTTAAACATTAGCATTTGGACAGGTTTCCCGTGACACAGCACTCCTTCTGAAGTCCAGCATATTACGCCAGGACTGACTTTGCAGGACCACAATGAGATCGGTAATCGGCGGCAGATGTTACGATTGAAGACCATGAAGACGTCCTGATGTGGTGCATGTGCTCTTTTCACTATCAGAGTGAAACATTCCTTGAATGCACATTCCATACGCACAATCAGCGCGCGGTAAAGGAACGGTCACCCGCGCTTCAATTGCATTCTACAGCAGGGGTTTTGAAACAAACCAGGATGCAGCAGGGTTATGATCGTTATTTAAGACTAAAATTATTTAAAAAAAAGTCCTTTAAATTGAAATAAACCTGGAATAAAATAGCATATTTTTATCCTATTATAAATATATATATTAGTATTAGTTACATATATATATATATATGTATATATATTAGTATACTCTCTCTCTCTCTCTCTCTCTCTCTCTAAATTATTAAAAACAGTCCTGCAAATTGAAATAAACCTGGAATAAAATAGCATATTTTTATATATACATATATATATATATATATATATATATATATATATACATGAAATAAATTAATAAAATCAACTTAAGCTGGACTATGTCACTATTTTCTTTAAAAAATGTTGTTGTTTTTTTTGCATTATTTTCCTGTTATCTATGTAAAGCTATTTAAGACTAAAATTATTACAAAAAATTCTGAATGTACGAAAAATCTTAAACTAAATCATCTTCCTAGCAACTCCAGAGCTTTATATATATATATATGAACTAAATTAATAACTTTTTAACTCAACTTAAGCTTAAACTGGACTATGACGCTATTTTCTTTAAAAAATTTTGTTTTTTCTTTTGAATTATTTTCCTGTTATCTATGTAAAGCTGCTTTAAAACAGTCTGTAAAAAGTTGTAAACAGTTGCAAAAAGCGCTAGGCCAATAACAGTGACTTGACTACAGCATTGGTTCCCCTCATTTCCAGGATCTGCTTCATTGGAATCATCCGCACACACACATTGGATTTGGCAAGTTTTACACCGGATGCCCTTCCTGATGCAACCCAGCACTCACACACACTCCTACAGCCAATTTGGCATTTCCAATCCAGCTAACCTGCATGTCTTTGGACTGTGTGGGGGGAAACCGGAGCACCCGGAGGAAACCCACACTGACACGGGGAGAACATGCACGAACAGTCTAGCTATAGGCTAATACTCAAATAAAGGCTTGTGAAATAAACATCAACCACTGTTTGTGTAACCTGTTGGACTTGACCCAGCATGGTACTTCTTCACTAATAATACATGAACCATTCAATAGTGTCCGACCAAGGGAAACCACTCGTCCAAGACATAACAAAACGGAAGTAGGGAGGGTTCATAGCCTGTGTTCCAGACTACTATCTTGAGTTAAATCACTGCTAGAGAGCTTTGTACCCTCCCTGTACTACACAACAGAGCTTTGTGCGAACTGGCTCTTTGAATTACATGGACAACTTTGAGCTAAAACTAACAAAGGAACAGACAATAAATGCCGTTATCTTGAACTAAAGTGCTTTAAACTGTCACATATTGATGGATAATATGTTATTTATGGTTGAAAAAACTGTAATTATTTAATGAATAAAAATGTAGTTTTTGCCTTCATTTTTACATTTACATTCATTGTTTACATTTAGATGCCACTGTCACAGGAAGAGAGCAACTTTTTTTAATAAAATGAAAAATTTGATTTATTGGGTAATAATTCATTATGCTGGATGACATGTATCTTCTTCTTTTTATAAATAAAATAATATTAATAATTTCTGTTTCATGTGATAGTCATCTAATCTTGCAGAAATAATTTAGGTAAAAAAAATTAACCAAGCAATAAAAAAGAGAAATTACTAAAGTGAAATAGTTCCACATAAGTAAATTTTATGTTATTTTTAGTTTTTTTTAGAGTTTAGTTGGCAACATATTTTTAATTTAATATATTTTAATTTTACCAAACTAATTTTTTACTTAATTTTTTACGAGTTTACAAAAAGTTTAAACATATATAAGGCACTTAAATTACAATATATATATATATATATATATATATACTTAAATTCCTTATTTGACACTGATCCAGGAGTTTAAACAACATTAAAATGTCATTATACAAAAAAATCTAAATGATCCATAAAGGCTTCAGTTTCAGTTTCCATATATGTCTTATCTTTTTATATAATATATTCTGTCTTCCCAAAACAAAACATGGCAATAAATGCTTTTGTTTTTCCTTCCTGTTACCGTCTAGACCAAGTGATGTCAGCTTGCGTCATTTGTTGAAGAACAAGAGACTTCTAATTGAGCTTCTCTACACTCTGCTGGCAAAGAAAGAAGAGGAAGGTTTGCGTGACTTCAGTTACACAATCCACTGTGTACACCATTGTCATATCTGACCAACAAGGCTAATATTACGAGAATAAAGAAAGGCATAACTATCATAACTCACTTCTCCAAAAGGTTTTACTGAGAACGGAGGTCCACCAAAGCCAAAACTTTTCCATGGAAGGGTTAGTTTGCATCAGAGCAATTCTGTGGAAATATTATAAATTCCCAGGAATGGCTAACAATCAGAGAAGTGAAAGAGTTATAGTCAATTCTATAGGACAATTATGAAACAAAACAATATACCAATGATTTATTAGTGGCCTGGGAAAAATCAGTTGGATTTCAAACTAAACACAATAGGTTATGATATATTTACAGGTTATAATATGAGTTCAGACAAGCCCAGCTCTAGCCTGAGGGGTTTACAACTCTTGGTTTCAATATCACTCATCCCTTATTAATAAACCTATTTCAACCATTAACTTAGAACTGTCACATTTATTATGTAGTGCATCAGTAACCCATTCAACATAACGTTACGGTTACTGACAACATTCACCTTTAACGTTAAGCAAAGACAGAGAAGAAACTGTTCACGTTACTGACGTGAAAACAGAAAGTTCTCCTGAAGTCCTCTGAACTCCTCAGAAACTTGACAGTAAAGAGTCGAAATTAGCAGTCAACAAAAAAACAAACAGTTATTTGACTCGTTCAAAACCTATCTAATAGGTAACGTTAAGTTATTTAATGTTACCTTTTTTACACTGTAAGTTACGCTAAAACTCACAAAACTTTTCTCGACGCAATGGGTCTTTATAACAGCACTTCCGACATTAAAACTAACCAACTATTCGATCTAACACCATTATAAAAACACAAATACACAAAATATCACAACATAGAAAAATAATAGTCACAAAACTTGAATTAATTTGAAGTTTTCGTAACTGACAATCTGACTGCGTTATCCCCACACACTGCGCGTGCGCAGGACATATTGGTCACCGGCAAACAAACAACTCTGTAACTCTGTCAGGAACTAGATTACTTGAATAAAAACAGCTCTTGAATATATTTTCTAGGTCTTTACCCTCGTTTGACGCCTTGGGAGTGGTGAAAAAGAGAATAGCCCAGTTTTTGTGATGATTTTTTCCTCAGCTCGTCACACTTGAAGCCATGTCGAACTGAAAGCCGATACTTCCGCGGCTGGCTGCTGATCTTTCTGACACGTCTGACTGGACGCACGCAAAGTCAACCAAGTCAACCCAACAACTAGTGTGGTGAACGCGACGCGTCTGACTCGAACGTCAACGCCCAATCCGATGGCCAATCAAAGACGACGTGTTCGATGCCGCGAAAAATGATTGGTGGATTATGAAGCGAGCGTTCTACTGTAGCGTTTGCGTCGCGTCTTTCTCTGGAAGAGGTATTATTCAGACAGATGACGTAAAAATAATAAAATATCCGTGTTTTGTAGTTAGATGGTCTCGAAGAAACATTCTATATAATTGCATGTTGTTTAAAACATGTTTGAGAGTGTGTTTTACTGTGTTAGGTCTCATCCTTTTACAGTAGCCTATGGTCTCATCTCTTCGTCTGTTGCGCGCCCTGGTGGATACATAGCTAAATTATATATTTTTTGTCTCGTATATATATATTTTTTGGTTTCATATCATCATATCAAATCATATCCACTTTATGACAGACTCAGGGTCAAAATATAAGAAAGAAAAAAACAAGACAATCATAAAATGAACAGCATCCAAAAAACAAACAAACAAAAACAACAAAAAAGTAGACAGGCGAAGAATATTACAAAGATATGACGAATAACGATACGGGTTGGATGGAATGTCAGGATGACAGTGTCTCCAAAACTTGGATTATGGTCAAGATTCTATTCTGTTCTATTCTATTCTATTCTATTCTATTCTTAAAACACTTTACTTGAAGGGGTGTGCATAAGACTAACATGACACCTTCATAATCATGACATGACATGTTATGAATATGATGGAAGTTTTATGCATGTTTATGACAACTGTCATTAAGTGTCATTCGCTCAGTTATGACATTTTTAATGCAAATATGACATTGTTTGAGATGGCTTATGATACCCTGACATAAAACCAATACATCATTACCTGTCAGTGTCTTTGTCATGACAACTTGACATTACTAAGACAACACAATGTCATAAACATGACATAGCAGATTAATTATCAAACTTACGAAACCACCATAGCTTTATTGGTTAACATTACATTAAACTGTCAGGTGGTTGGTTTTGACATTGGCTGTCATGAAGCCATTACAACTTTTTAATGACAAATTCAATTAGTACCACTGTAGTTGAGGTCAAGAAACGGGAGAACGCTGTGAGACGCATTGGTTGGCCGGACATGTCCGAGAAAAAGAGGATGGTAACCCCTACTACTCAGCTGTCTCCAACAAGCTATTAGCTATTAGCTAATATAACAAGCTATTAGCTATTATCTATTAGCTTCCTAATAAAAGATCTTGTCTCAGGGGGATTTGAGGGTGGAAAGCATGGTAATTCAAAAATACTTCAGGTTTTCTACTAATACAAAGCTTAATGCTAAATCCTGAAGTATCCCTTTAATTTGGGGTGTGCTTTCTTCACTTGCAGTGCGTTAAGCTCTCTCGGCCACCGGGTATTATTTTACATGCATTTCTAACACCATGCAGAGTTTAAAAAATATCTAGGAAAATTCATGTAAATTGGGACACTATCATTGAAAGGACTGGTAGAAATGTCCCAATAGTTCTGAGTTAACCTTTTTTTACTTAGGCTAATAATTTCTCATAATGTGATACAATCACACCTCTTTTTCACAGACAAAGAGAGAACTTTGCATAATGCTGAAGTGTAACTGAAAATATTTTGTGCGTTGCCAGTTGCACCTTGCTGTGATTGCCTCCGGCCTCATTTACACAATCAGTTAACTGAAAAGGAAGTATTGTTTGGAATGTTGGCTTCTCAGAAAAAGTCATGCTTATATTCTAGTAGTGCAAGAGAAAATGTTTAGCTGCAAATAATATTTTTATAATGTCTCTTGATGTGTCTAAAAGCAAATAGAAACATTCTGCACTACTAAGAGATCAGGCCATCTAACAGACCAACCCAACATGAAGGGCAATTGTCAAACAACAACCAGAGAGAGAGATTAACAAGAAAGGTATTTTCTGAAATGAGAACGTGGATGGTTGTAATACATAAGCTTTCTTTATATGAGTTAACTTCACTTGTCTCAGTTGTGATGCTTAGATTGGATCATTTTACTGACTTGAACTTTCAAACTTGTTTAGCAAAGTGAGCTAATCTATTGAAAATGTAATTTATTTCAGGACATAATCATACAAAATCTTTGATCTTATTCTTAATTAGGAAATCATTACAATGCATTCAAAAGTAAATTTAAAGAAACATTAGGCTAATGTTGAGTCTTTCTTTAATTTTCACATGACAGACACACTAATCATTCATGAACGTTCGTCACTGGTCTAGAAGGAAACTTGAAGACAAAAGTTGACTTTAAGTTTCATGGATGTGAAAAGCCCTGAAAAACTTTGAAAAGAATTTGTGGTGTAAGTTGCTGAATATTTAGTTAAAATAAAAATCACTTTCCCATTCCACTGTTTGTGTCTAGCTATATAAATAACAGTTTTTTTTAAGCGTCTCATATCTATTTTGTCTTTCCTGTTCATTAAGTATGGCTTTAGTCCAGATGAATCTAGTTTTATCTAGCGAAACGATCAGTCATTAAAAAAAATAAAATAAAAAACTTTAAGTTTTATTAGCACAATACTCACCTTGCTGTGTTCTGTGATGAGCGTTCGTGACTCTCCTGTTCAAACTCGTTCATCAAAATGAACAAATCTTTTTTCGAGTCATGACTCGAAGGGTCCAAGATAAGACCCTTATTCATCGTCTGGTGTCTTTTAAGCCCTTTGAAGCTGCACTGAAACTCTCATTTGGACCTTGAACCGTTTGGTTCCCATTGTAGTTTATTATATGGAGAAAAACCTTAATTTTCAAACCTTAATTTATTTTTGACTGAAGAAAGAAAGACATGGACATCTTAGATGACATGGAGGTGAGTAAATTATCAGCAAACGTTTTTTTTTTAAAGTGAACTACTCCTTTAAATAATGTTTAGCCTCTTAATCTACATTTTCTGCAAAAAAGTGTATTATATGTATGTGCAGAGATGCCATATACTGTAAATTGAATGCGTTTGGCATCTCTTTAGTTACAGTGCACCCTGGTGGAAATATGGTGTATCGAAGGAGCAGTTATGACTTATCTCCACAGTTTTGTTTTGCAATATAAAGATAATTCCAGTAGATTACAGTATAGTATATTGCAGTACTCACCAACCAGTATATTAGGTACACCTTGCTAGTACTGGGTTGGACCCTTTTTGAGGCCCAAAGTGTGCCAAGAAAATATCATTAAACCACCAGCAGCAGCCTGGTTCAGGCTGATACAAGACAGGATGGGTTCATGTTTTCATGTTGTTTACGCCAAATTATACCATCTGAATGTCGCAGCAGAAATTGAGTCATCGTCAGACAAACAGGCAAGACACTGGTGTGTCGTCTTCTGCTGTAGCCCGTCTGCTTCAAGACTCGACCGGTTGTGTTTCAAACTCGTTCATCAAAATTAACGAATCTTTTTTTTTTGTGTCATTTGGTTTATTCAACGAACGAAATGAAAGAGTTGACTCTGGAAAAGATTCGTTCATCGTTGAGTTTGAATAGGAGAGTCATATGAGCTTATAAAACTTAAACTTTTTTTTTTTAAATGAGCGATCGTTTCGCTTGATAAGACACTTATTCATCGTCTGGAATCGTTTAAAGCCCTTTGAACAGTTTGCACTGAAACTGTCTTTTGGACCGTGAACCGTTTGGTTCCCATTGGAGTCCATTACATGGAGAAAACCCTGGAATGTTTTCATCAAAAACCTTAATTTCTTTTCGACTGAAGAAAGAATGACATGGACATCTTGGATGACATGGGGGTAAGTAAATTATCAGCAAAAGTTTTTTTTAAAAAAAGTGAAATACTCCTTTAACAAGCGCTTAACAGTGGCTGGTCGGTACAAAGATACATTAATGTCAACTCCAAAAAATTCTTCTTTTAAAAATAATTATAGGTCCCATAATAATTTAGTATCGCCAAAAATACTTTTATCTATCAAATCATTTTAGAAATCTCCTTAGTCTAGTTCACAAGTACATTCTTTAGCTTACAGACCAACAAAAGCCTCTTTGGCTGCCACAGCTTTGGCAGAGCTTTCCTTTTTTGGCACACAAGCATTTGACAAATTAGACCAAAAGTAAACACGATTATGTAAATGTATGACAAAATCAAATTACATTTCCAAAAGCGCCTTTGTTTGGCTCGATTATTCTCCTACAATTCCCACACAGGGCCATTGTAAATTGGGTTATGCACATTTTCTGGAGAGGGTGTCCTTGGTAAGTAGATGTTTATTTTAGACTAACACAAGAGACCTGCAGAATATCTATTGACTTGCAAAGTCCCCAAAGACTTTCAAGTGTAGATTCTGATGTAACAGACAGAACTGAATGCTAATATTTTTTAACATGTCTGACTTAAACAACTTGTCGATCCTCAGCTGTGGACCTGAATAACTGATTTCAAAGCAGACGTTATGGCACAGGAGATATGCGTTTTTCTCTTTTCCCTGACGGCTCTTGGTGTCCTTTACACTATGAACAATGTTCCAGCATTTCAAGAGTGAGTATTGCAAGGTTAACAGAATCATATACTATAATAATACATTCTTAACAAAGGCTTTGTTTGAAAAGCACATAGTGCAAATCATTATAATAACAACTTTGGTCACATTAAATGCATTTTACCTAATGCCATATTTTATAGCAGTCTGTACATCATAGATCTTTTACAAGAGAACATAAAGAATTTGTAGACTGGTGATAGAATTTATTGAGCATGCTCATCAAAAATTATTACTCGAATGTGTCTTTTTCTTTATTTCTTCCACTTGAGGGCAGTGAAAGGATATGGTAACTGATTTGTTAGACTCAAGCTACTGACTTAAATTATATAAAAAACAGTAGCTTTATTATAATAATAATCGTTTTTATTGTATAAATTATATCCTGACAGAACAGCACAGGCCAAGAAAATTACTATCCGCTTGGCAAACGAAGACATTTGTGTGCACATCTCTCTCCAAGCTGTCTGAACACATCACAAAAAGAAGCCTATTCAAATTTTAAACTAAAGCCTAAGATATTATAATTCGCCACAATTTCATTTGGAGTTTCTGCTATCTTAAAGGCTACTGAAGGTCACCAATTACTGATTCCGATAAGCAGAATCATTATTTTTTTGAGTCAGCTGAACTGATTCCGATTCGCAGTTGAACGGCTAATCAAATTATGAAAAGGTCATGGAAATTCACTGGTATTTCACTGTATGTCATTTCTATACCGTTCATTTACAATGATTAACAACAACGACAGTCTCTGTTAGAGGCTGCATTGACTCTCATATGGATACGTGGACAATACAAGGCGTTTTCTATGTCTGAATAGCTCAGTAAGTGTCTCAGTAAAGGCTGGATAGGGCGACTATCACATGCCCATCTCATTTGGTGCTCTGGGTGTTGGAATAATTACAATTCTGCCAAACCATTCTCTGCTGACTTACTGAAGACAGGAAAGAGAATGGTCGAATATGTTAGGCTAATTGTGGACAAGACATGTAGTCTTTAAAGAATGGTGGTGTTCTTCAAGATATAATTCTTGATAAAATATTTAATATTTTTTTATTAATACTACAATGATCATATATAGTAAAAAATAATAGAAATAGTCCAAATTCTAATAATAGAATTAAAGGGACTTTGACGCGTCACGCGTCCAGATTCTCACGCAATGAAAAAAACATTGAACAAAGAGGACATGGACAATACGCTGACAGACAAGACAGAGCAGGCTACTTTCTAAATGATATTAAGTCTCAACCTGCTCATTTTGTAAGTATTATTACCTGATTCAAACAATAATATCGTTTTTGGCGCTCTTAATGTAGCGTGACAGTTCACTGTGTGTGTAGCGCAAGGTAAATGCAAGCGCGCGGGTGAATCGATACTAGTTACAGGACAAAATAGCCTAAACATGAATTAACATAAGAGGTTATGTTGAAAGAACCAGTACAACTTACTGAAATGTATCATATATTGTGTAATCACGTAATTAGTGTTGATACATTGAAAAAAAAAATGGAGTAGGTGTAGTGAAGATAATAGGTAGACACTCAGTCTATGTGCTAGTTCTGGATTTATCACCAAGTTCACTCAGGCGTGTCGGCCAGAACACCTCTTAAGGCCAAATTTTCCAGAGTATGAAATAAATAGTGGAGAAATAATTCTGATTCTGTTTCTTTATTCCTCTTTCTTGCAATTCGGTGAGTATTGGTGTGTGTGAGTGTGGTTTCTATAAAGAGAGAAACAAATTACAAATGAATAAATCAAATATAGCTATGCATGCACTCATTCCTCTCTATGCACTAATATACATTACTAAACAAAAGCAAACAATAATCAGCATATAACTATACAGTATATCTCTTAAACTCTAATACTGTAAGAATAATATAAAGATTCAAACACTTATTATAAAGATCCTCAGATTTTCCATTATAAGTAAAATTCTAACATCACTTACTTCTTATAATACTCAACTACAAAGTACTGATCAATCCTAACAAATATAAAGGATAAACACATCTAAACACGATATTACTATCTTTAACCTGACGTACTAAATCAGATGAGTCGAAGCTCTAACGTGAGATGTACTAACGCGAATATAATTAGCACCTCAGTCTCAAATCGACTCCTTAAACTCCCAACTCTTATCTACATCAAATAACAGAAATAACTAGTTTAACAAATAATATAATACCACAGTTTTACTTACTTTTTTCATTTACGCACACTCTGAGGGAAAGTGCAGCTCACACAACCAACTGACCAACCGACTATCTCTATCGTACTGCGTACTAAGTATGTGATGTCAGATAGTATACAAACCAGCGCGCGCCTCAGACACCGTTACAAGCGCTGAATCAACGGAAGTGAATGTGAAACATAAACCCTAATATGGTCAACTACACTAAATAATAGCAACACTAAAATAACTTTGGGGCCTTTTCTACAGCCGCCCCCGAATGTATGTAATACATTCGCTCATCAATAAAGGCAACAAAGTTCTATGGCTGGGGTGTAGTTGCAGGAGTGGAACCGTCACCATCTTCTCCAGAAGGAAGTGCAGGGAGGACAACCAGCCTGGCAACTGGCCGTGTGTAGATTCTTTCCTTAACCTTTACATCAGCGGACCTGATGTGCCCGTCAGGGCTGGGATGAGTCTTGACCACTTTCCCAATGGGCCAGAGGGCCCTCGGAAGATGAGGATCAGCGATCATCACTACACAGTCCCCTGTAATATCAGGTGGTGTAGCCTGCCACTTCTGGCGAGCTTGGAGACTTGGCACATATAGCCGGATGAAACGGGCCCAAAAGTGGTCGGCCAAAACTTGGGAGTGTCTCCAACGGCGGCGACAGATGAGCTCACTTTCAGGGTAGACTACCTGAGGTAACGAACCATCAAGCCGCCCCATCAGAAGAACACTGGGAGTCACTGGATCTGGGTCGCTGGCATCTGAAGACACATATCCCAAGGGCTTACTGTTAAGGATCCCTTCAACCTCAGTAAGTACGGTGCGAAGCACTTCTTCCGGAACAGGTTGAGCACCGACTGTGGCATAGAGTGCACTCTTAACTGAGCGTATCTCCCTCTCCCACACCCCTCCGAAGTGAGGAGCGGCTGGGGGGTTAAAACGGAAGGAGATCTTCTGTGGAGCAAGGAGATGTTGTAGTTCATTAGACATTCCAGCGAAGGTCTCACGTAGTTCTCGCTCACCTCCCTTGAAATTTGTTCCTTGATCGGAAAACAGCTCAGCAGGTGTTCCTCTACGGGAAATAAACCGACGAAGGGACATCAGAAAGGCATCCGTATCAATGGAGGTAAGGAGGTCCAAGTGCACCGACTCGTTGTGAGGCACTTGAAAATGATCCCCCATCTCTTCTCCCGGCGCCGGCCAACTTTGACCTCAAATGGCCCAAAGCAGTCCATCCCTGTAGAGTAGAAAGCCGGCTTGTAAAGACGCAGACGGGCTGATGGCAGGTCTGCCATTTTCGGCACTGCTGGTCTTCCCCTCCATCGCCGACAGTCAGCGCAGCTATACTGGTAGCGCCGGACAGCCTCACGCCCCCGCAGGATCCAGAAAGAGCGTCGAAGCTCTGCGAATACCCGCTCTGGGCCTGGGTGGAGGAGGCGATTGTCAAAGTCTTGGATCAAGAGCGTAGTTACTCGATGACCTAGGTCTAAGATGACTGGATGAAGAGTGGTCAGTTCTAGGCCTTCTGCTCGACGGAGTCGTCCTCCAACACGAATGAGCTCTCCCTTTTCATCCAGCTCTGGAGACAGCGTGCGGAGTCGACTGCTGCTAGGTACTGGTTTACCAGCTTTCAGGAGGCTGTACTCTTGCTGAAAGCTATCCCTTTGAGCCCTCTGAAGTATTAACTGTTCAGCCTGTCGGTAGTCTTCAGCTGTAGGCTTATAATTAGAGTTGGCCGCCCCATGCAGCTCCTGCACTGTCTCTTCGAGCAGCTCCTTCCACGAGCCGTACTGACTCACGTCTGAAGTCGACTGGCTTGATGCAACTGCGGCGACCCCACAGAAGGTAGACTTGCGCAGCTCTGAGGTATCTTCTGCTTGTTCTACAGCAGGGTCCTCTGGCCATGAGTTTGGACTGGTCAGGAGGAAGGCAGGTCCCAGGCTCCATCTATTTGGTTGAACTAGCTCTCGCAGCTTCTTCCCTCGTGTCACGTCATCAGCAGGGTTTCTTGCAGTATCAACGTATCTCCAGGCATGCCTGTCAGTCAGCTCCTGTATCTCGGCCACGCGGGTGCCCACAAAGACCTTAAATCGGCAGGATTCGGACCTCAGCCATGTCAGCACCGTTGTGGAATCTGACCAAAGGATTGTCTGATCAATGTGGATAGTAAGCTCCCTCTTCAGCACCTGTGAGAGCTGTGCTCCAGTAAGGGCAGCACAGAGTTCTAACCGGGGCATAGAGTGGAATCGCTTGGGAGCAACTCTAGAACGGGCCATCAGGAACGACAGATACACTTCACCTTGTCTGTCAGTGGTCCGGAGGTATGCCACTGATCCATAAGCCTCTTCTGACGCGTCGCAGAATACATGCACCTCTCTCTGAAGACCGGACGTGTCCACGTCCTTTGGCAAGTATGGTCGGGGCAAGGTGACTTGAGGTAAAACTTGTAGTTCTTCTTCCCAGTCTTTCCACCGCTGCAGAAGCTCCTGTGGTAGTAGTGGATCATCCCATCCCCTGTGCTTGTCCCAAAGAGATCGGACAATTATCTTAGCCCTGGTGGTGTAGGGTAGGATGAACCCCAAAGGGTCGTACTGACTCGCCAGCACTTTATATATATTGCGCATGGTAGGAACCCCGTACTCCACATGGCGATGCTTGTAGCCGAGGACATCCGTGTGGAAGAGCCAGCTTAGCCCTAGAGTAGATTCTGGGGTATCTGTCTTGTTCTGAGCCAGCCATAACTCAACACTGGCAGAGCAGCTCTCTTCAGGTAGGTGACTTATTACCCCCGGTTCGTTGCTTGCCCA